CTGGAGTGCAGTGAAGCAATCTTAGGTTACTGTAACCTCCAACTCCCAAGTTCAAGTGATTCTCCTGCCTGAGCCTCCCAAGTAGCTGGGATTACAGGCACACGCCACCATGCTCAGCTAATATTTGTATTTTTAGTAGAGATGGGATTTTACTGTGTTGGTAAGGCCGATCTCAATCTCCTGACCTCAAGAGATCAAGATCCGCCTGCCTTGGCCTCCCAAAGTGCTGAGATTACAGGTGTGTGCCAACATGCCCAGCCAGAGCACTGCTTTGCTGAAACAGTTGACCTGGATGGAAGTGGAAGAGCATGTTAGAATCATCAGAGAAGCTTTTTCTAATGATGGCTGCTTCCTCCCACCACCCCTCTCCCAAATCTGACTTGTCCCTCAGATAGCTTATATCAGTTGGGATAGGTGATGCTGTAGTAAAACAAAACAGCCACAACAAGCAGAGAACAAAAACCCCATCAGTGGATTTCATCTCAGTGGCTTACAAGGTGTACTGTTTCCTTGCATGACTTGCCCATCGTGGCTTGGCTGCATCTCTGCTCCCCAGCACCTTTACTCTAGGATCTGAGCTAAGGGATTTGTCTCTATCTGAAACACCACCCATCCCATAGGAGAAGGAAAGGGTGACACAGTAAACCTCACACAGACTTAACACTTCTAGCCAGAAGGAACGCCTTACCTCTAGTCTCATTGCACCGTCAAGAGACAATTACACGGCCAAGCCTGATGCCAGTGGGGAGAAAGAAGGATAACCTTGCCCAGAGAGAGGCTTCAAGTATCTGTGAACACTAATCAAGCTTATCCCAGAGGGGGCTGTCCTCCCCATCATGCTTCTGCAGTGAGTGCCTCCATCATGGATGAAGGGATGGAGGATGAGTATGGAGGTGTCATAGGCATTGTTATGCCAGAGCAGAAACAAAGGGGGTAAAACAACTTGAATCTATGCCCTCCCTTCTAGCTGTAACTCTTTACCAAATGATGAAAACACAGTCAAAAGAATGTAAGTGGATGTTTTTGCCAAGCCACGATTAGAACTTAGTTTTCCTCTCCAGCCATCTAAGACTGTTTTCTTTTAATATCACACTCTTTTTGCAAATTGACAAATAAAAATACTACACTTTTGACACATAGTTGATAGAACTCACTTGGTGAGGAATCCCCAAAAATGATTTATGTTAGACTAAAGAAAAAGGCTTGCTATTGTTTTATTTGACATGAAACCGCAAGTTAACTCATTCCGAAGAGCTTTCAGTGGAGCAAGAAAACTAGATGTAGTAATTGTACTAAGCTATTAGGGCACAGTAATCCCTATGATAACCTCACTTGTCCTTGTCTTTGCACAGATGTGTGAATATACTCAAGTTATAGCCTCGAACCTCCCCAGTTTATCATATTCACCCTCTGCCTGAATTCTATTTCTGTCTTGATTACTTTAAACCAGTGGCGTGGATTGAGGGTCAAATATTGGAAGCCAAGTCATAGTGTAGGTGCAAGGGATTTCTCCTTGTAGTTTTAACCCTAATGAGAAGGAAACTGACCTTATCCATGCTTTTAAAGCTATGTAGGCAGAAATCCAACAAAAGAAGAGTATTTTTTAGAATTGCATTACTAATGCCTTTATATCACTAAATGAAGTTATTAAGCTGAAAATCATTAAATATTGATTGATTCACTGATTGGTTGCATTTCTTTTGTCATATTTTACTTTGCAAAAGATCCGTAAGCAAAATGTGCCATTTCCCCCAGCTAAAGTGTCTCTGTAGAAGCACAGGTCAGCAAGATGCTCTTTAGCACATCTCAGGGCTTCCCAGCACCCATTAACACAATTTGGCTGAAGCAACTTCATTACGTGCCCCCAACAACATTTTGGCTCTAGGTCTCTCTTCATCATGCACCATTTGATTATACTTCTAGTTATTGCTAATTCAGTTAATGGGTTGAAATACTGCTTTTCCCTCTATCAAGGTGCTCTAGGCTGTGAACATTTAAATCTTCCTGTCATCTCTGGGTTGGACAATCATCATCCACTTTGCAGTTCACAACTGAAAGATAACCCATCCTCAAACATTACTGCCAACAGTGTCTGAGAAGTCTGTTTTATCCTAGTTTACAAAATAGTTCATCTTGAACATCTTGATGTAACACAGTGGAATCTCGGGTCTGTAAAAACATTGTTGCTAGCAGTGAGTGTGCTTAACTTATATTTTATATCACTGCAATGCCATTATCACAGCTAACGAAATTAGCAGTCATTCCTTTGCATCGTCTAATATGTAGTCGGTGTTCAAGTATTCCTTCTTGTCTCAGATGTCTCTCTGCACTTGGTTTGTGGGAATTGGAATCCAAACAGGGTCCATTGCATTTGGTGAATTTCCCACATTCTGGATGTGGCTGATTTTCTCATGGTTTCATTTCATTTGTTCCTCTGTCTTTCTAATTTCCTGTAGGCAGATCATAAAATCTAGAGACTTTATTAAATTCTGGTAAAATTTCTTTTTGGCGGGAACCCTTCAGAGGTAGGGATGTGTATTTCTTCTTGCATTGCAAAAGGATGCACATGATTTCTGTTTGTTCCTCTTTTATCAGTGCTAAGATTGTTCATTATTGTTGACCAAAAGGAGTAGAGTTTGGGTTGCTACATTGATTCCTGCATGTCTATGGCTCACCTTAATAGAGTCTCAATTAACCAGAGGAAGCTCAGGTTACAGTTGTTGATCAATAGCTTGTAAGCCTCCTGACTGCATGTAGGAAGCATAGACATCTCTCTTTTTCCATCAGAATCATCTGAGTGAATGAGCACAGCTCCAGTGATGAAAATTTGTATTCCACAGTCGACTCCAAGGGTCTGTGAGAGGAAGGTGAGAACATTAGTATACAAGCTGTCATGTATCACAAGTGTTATAAAGTCATCATTAGACTGGAATTAACCTCTAAAAGCAAATTAAAATCTGGGGAAAGAACATGCAAGGTCAGAATGAAATCGTATATGTTGAAGACCTCATGATACATGCAAGGTTGCAGACCTCTGGGATTTTACATATTGATATGAGAAAATTGACACTTGATGTTTTGCCCAAGTTACATGTTCTCTCTGGGTAAAGATCCTAAAAACAACAATTGGATTTTAGAAAGTAAACAATACAGCAGCATGATTTGAATAGACATCACTGCTAAAATGCAGGGACCTTCAAAGACAATGCCAACATTCTCTGAAGGTCAAGTTGAAATCACCTGGAGCTCCCACCCAGCTCAGTGTCATGGAGTGAAATCTGAAGAAATACAGTTCAACTACTAAAAGAAATGTTAAAAGAAATTCCATTTAAAAAGATCTAGATATAATATAAACTATGCCAAAGTTTCTCAACCTTTGCATTATTGATATTTTGTTGAGATAATCTTTGCTCTGGGAGCTGTACTGTATACAGCAGACTGTTTAATAGCATCCCTGGCCCCTACCTACCAATGCAAGTAGCTGCCTCCTAGTTGTGAAAAACAAAAATGTCTCTACTTTGCCAAACGTGGGGTGGGGGCCAGGGCTAGGGGAATCACTCCAGGTAAAGAATCACTGATCTGTAGTAACACTTATCAGAATTAATTCCCAACTTGCCAGAAGCTGTATCTTTTATTTTGGGCACCAGAAGATGCCCTAGTAAAGTCACAAGGCTTAAACATGTGCTGTTTGGCTGCCCACTGCCGTGCTTCAAAGAGCTGACTTCTCTGAATTCAGGTTACCTGGGAGTAAATTCCAGATCTACCAATTACAGTACTAGTTCTGAAATGCTGGGAAATTTAAATGTTCTCTCTTGTCAAATGGACCTATCTCAAACATATGTTGTCTGTCCATGAAACACATGCAGCAGAGTCACCTGTGCAGCATGCTAGACATGTACAGCCCTGGGTCCTATTCCAGATCCTCTGGATAGGACTTAGGAATCCTCATTTTGAACCTAAGTTCCACGGTCAAGAATTGTGTTCTCAGAAGAGGTTGGTCTAGAACTGCTGGGCTTTCATGTGTATGAGTGTGTGTGTGTGTTCTTGCCTTGTTTCTAGCAAAATATACATTACAAAACTTATCATTTTAACCATTTTAAGCATATAGTCTGGCAGCATTAAGTATACTCACAATTTTGTGCAGTCATCATTATCCATCCTGAACTTTTTCCTCTTTCCCAACTGAAACTGTACCCATTAAACTTTTAAATCTCTATCCCCCTACCCTGACCCCCTGACAACCGTCGTGCTACTTTCTGTCTCTATGAACTTAACTATCCTAAGTACCTTATATAAGTAGAATCATACAATATTGGCTCCTTATATAAGTAGAATCATACAATATTGGCTCTTTTGTGACTGGCTTATTTCACTTAGCGAAATATCTTCAAGGTTCATCTGTGTTGCAGCTTGTGTCAGAATTACCTTCCTTTTGAAGGCTGAATATCATGTCATGTCTGTATATACCATAATTTGTGTTTCCATTCATCCATCGATGCACCCTTGGATTGCTTGTACCTTTTGGCTATTGTGAGTAATGCTGCTGCGCATATGATTATACAAATACCTGTTCAAGGTGGTGGCTGACACCTGTAATCCCAGCACTTTGGAAGACCAAGGTGGGTGGATCACATGAGCTCAGGAGTTTGAGACTAGCCTAGCCAACACGGTGAAACCCTGTCTTCACTTAAAAAAATAAATAAATAAATTACTAAAAAAATACAAAAATTAGCTGGCATGGTGGGTGGGTGCCTGTAGTTCCAACTACTCGGGAGGCTGAGGCAGGAGAATTGCTTGAACCCAGGAGGTGGAGGTTACAGTGAGCTGAGATCATACCACTGCACTCCAGCCTGGGCACTGAGCAAGATGCCCTCTCAGACAAAACAAAGGAAACACCTGTTCAAGTCCCTGCTTTCACTTCTTTTGGTTGCATATGCAGAAGTGGAATTGCTGGGTCATATGGTAATTTGATGTTTAATTTTTTGAGGAATTACCATGACATTTGCCACAGCAGCTGTACCATTTCACATTCCCACCAGCAATGCATAAGGGGTCCAATTTCTCCACGTCCTTGCCCACATTTGTTATTTTGGGAAATCCTTTTGTTTGTTTTTATTAATAGCTTTCCTAATGAGTGTGAAAGTGATATCTCATAGTTTTGATTTGCATTTCCCTATGGATTGGTGACTTTGAGCATCTTTTTATATGCTATTTAGCCATTCATATATCTTCTTCTTTGCTGCAATGTCTATCCACATCTTTTGTCATATGTTTTGAGTCATGATCTAGATCATGACAAGAAATACAAGCTTTGGAGCCTGAAAGCCCTAGGCTCTAATTCACTTCTATGGCTTTCTTATCTCTTATCTTGGGCAAGTTTTTGACCTCTCTGGGCCACCCATTTTCTCAATCAAAATGTCAAAAGTAGAACAAGCTTGAAGCAGGTTGTTTGTTTCTTTTTGAGACAGTCTTGCTCTGTCACCCAGGCTGGAATGCAATGGCACTATCTTAGTTCACTGCAACCTCCATCTCCCAGGTTCAAGGGACTCTCCTGCCTCAGCCTCCCAAGTAGCTGGGATTACAGGTGCCTGCCACCACACCTGGCTAATTTTTGTATTTTTAGTAGAGGCGAGGTTTCATCACGTTGGCCGGGCTGGTCTCAAACTCGTGATCTCAGGTGATCCACCCATCTCGGCCTCCCAAAGTGCTGGGATTACAGGCATGTGCCACTGCACCAGGCCTTGAAGTGGGTTTTGAGAAGAAAATGAAATAATGCCCTATATAAAATACCCTAGATCTGTTATTATTTCCCATGTGGAGAAATACGGAGATTTATTGACTGTGATATACATCAGAAGGAAAACAGGAAATACTTTCAATAGCAAAATAATGAAATGATGTAAAGATGTATCTTCAAGCTTTCAAAGCTGATGAAAAAAGTAGCATGAGAGAGCATCTCGATGCTCTCCTTGACATAAAAGTATTTGGCCAACTGAGCATAGTGGCTCACACCTGTAATCCCAGCAATTTGGGAGGCTAACACAGGAAGATACCTTTGGCCCAGGAGTTCAAGGTCAGCCTGGGCAATATAGAGAGACCCCATCTCTACCAAAAAAAAAACTTTAAAAATTAGAGGTGTGGTGTGGTGGTGCACTCCTGTAGTCCCAGTTACTTGGTAGATTGATGTGGGAGGATTACTTGAGCCAGGGAGGTAGAGGCTACAGTAAGCCATGATCACACCACTACACTCCAGCCTGGATGACAGAGCAAGAATATCTATCTATCTATATCTATAGATAGATAGATAGATAGATAGATAGATAGATAGATCATTTGCTTTATCTCTCATTTAAAAACAAACAAAAAAGAAAATTTATAATAATTAGGCCTTAACTTGAAACTTCTATTTGTTGGAAGATTAAAGGTCAAGGTGAAATAAAAATGGATTCCATGAGGTCCACTAGAATGAACAGTCACTAGAGCATATATAAACCCCATGTACACCCTTCAACGTTAGCCTTGTTATTGAACTATCTTTGGGAAGGTGGTATTGGCCAGTTGGATGCCAATGGAGTCTTTGGATATCTATCCTTTTATCAAATAGAACAACCCACAAGCAATTGGAAGCTAGTATATACAGACAGACCGCCTGGGCTTACAAAGCCTTCCTACTTAACGGTATTTTCTTAGACTGTATTCTCACTTTGATTCTCTGTTGACCCTTGGTTTCCTGGGAACACATTTTCTTGAGATCTGTGGGAAGTGCCTTTATTCTCTGGCCTGCCTTTTTCTCACTCTTGTCTGGTTAACCCAGTAATCTCAGGCAATACCTGTGGTCCTCAATCCCCATCTGTTTCCAAGAGCCACACATGAAATACTGAGGTGATGGCATGGAGAGAAAACCTCCAATAATGGGGAAAGTTGGGCAAGTGTAAGGGAAGACAGAAAGAAATTAACTTTTAGTAGTGCTAGTGTGAAAGAACAAAAAATTAACATCGAATGTGCACAAACTTGAGCGATTCCCCCAGCCTGCCAAAGGGAATTTTGAAGTTGCCAGTCCAATTTTCCTTCTTTTTTCTTCTAAAGAATATGAACTTTTTCTTCAAGGAGAGAGGCCAAGTGAATCTACATAATAAAGAGCCGAAAAAGAGAAAGTGGAGGGAGGCTGGGGGAAAACGAAGCCACAGGCAATGGGTGGAGAATTTACTTTCAGGAAATGTTAAGGAAAGAGTCCCTGAGGAGTTCCAGGGTGTGAGTAAAGTGGCAGGAAGGGGAAGAGAATTTCGATAAGGATTGTTCAAATATTTGGGCTTTCTTTAATGGAACATGTTTTTACAAAATTCTTTTTGGCAGTTAAATCGTGCTTTTTCAAATTTGATTCCATGATACTGAGCTATGTGGGAACCTCGGCTTTATTAGAACTAGACACACATGTATTATCTGCTTTTTCACATGAATTCAGTATTTTATGGACACATCATTGTATTTTACAGGATCAGTAGAACACAGGCCCCCTGAGTCAGTCTGGGCTCAAAACATCATTCAACAACTTAGCTGTGTGAACATGGGAAATTACTTTACCTCTCTGTGTCTTGATGTTACCATCTGCAGAATAACAGAAATAGCTCCAAAATTTCTATGAGAAAAAAATGATTTAAAACTGTGCGGCACATAATTGTTCGCTAATTGCCATTAACATTCTTATAGGTGATAAATTTGAAGATAGTAAATAACTTGCTGAAGAATGCATGGTCGATAAGAAGGGTTGCCAGATAAATTTCAAGAGACCTTCTTAAAATTGAATATCAGATACACTTTTTTTTTAGTATAAGTAGTCATGAATATTATATAGGGTATACTTACTTTGTTTTGTTTTTTGGGTTTTTTGTTTTTTTTTGTTTTTGGGGATTTTTGGTTGGTTTGTTAGCAGAGTCAGGGTCTCACTCTGTCACAGAGGCTATTTATAGACATGATCATAGCTCACTGCAGCCTCCAGAACTCCCACACTCAAGCCATCCTCCTGTTTCAGCCTCCCAAGTAGCTGAAACAAGTGCCTGATTATTTTCTTTTTCTTTCTTTTTTCTTTCTTTCCTTCTTTTCCTTTCTTTTCCTTCCTTCCTTCCTTTGTCTTTCCTTCTTTCTCTTTGTCTTTCTTTCTCTTTGTCTTTCCTTCCTTCCTTCCTTCCTTTCTTTCTGTCTTTCTGTCTGTCTGTATTTCTTTCTTTCTTTCCCTCTTTCTTTCTTTCTTTCTTTCTTTCTTTCTTTCTTTCTTTCTTTCTTTCTTTCTTTCTTTCTTTTCTTTCTTTCTTTCTTTCTTTTTTCTTTCTTTCTTCTTTTTTCTTTCTTGTCTTGCTATGTTGCCCAGGCTAGTCTCAAACTAGTGGCTTCTAGCAATCTTCCTGCCTAAGCTTCCCAAAGCACTGTGATTACACGCGTGAGCCATCATGCCCAGCCTACATGGGGCATACTTACACTAAAAAAGGTGTTTATAGTTTATCTGAAATTCAACTTTAGCAAGGTGTCCTGTATTTTTATTTGCTAAATCTGACCACTCTATGAAGAGTGCTACTGTGATCCAAATCCATGTTTGCTGGCTGCCAAATCCATGTTCTACTCGCTCAAAAGGAGTAGGCCAAGCTTTAGAATGGGAGTGAGTGTCAAGCGGTTCATAGACATCCAAGGGAAATACCATAAGGAGAATATATGGAGCACCTGCTATGTGCTCCTTTGTGTCCAAACCGTGTTACAATTATCTATATTACATTATCAGTAACCTCTGCAACAGTTCAGCTAGATCCATGCTATCCCCGTTTTACAGAAGGAAAAATTGAGAGTCCAAGACAGTAAGAAACTGACCAAGGACACAACAGACGGAAGTAGCAGAGTCAGAGTTCCAAAGTCAGACCTGCACTTGAGAACGATCATCTACCCTTCACATCATCTTCTAAACACAGTTTTTCTGGGAAGGATTTATGAAGCATAGGAAGATGACCCACTATTTTCCTTAGAATATCTAGGAGAATGCCATTTATCTTTGAATGACTCAGCTCTATACAGTAAAGTGAAGAATGGGCTTTCCTCTTGCAGGTTTACATATACAGACAACGAATGTATAGATACCCTAAAGCAAAACTAATCCAAGCTGATGGTCTGTACACCCTGCGTTCATTGGATGGTTGCCAGCACTGCACTTAGCAAGTGAAGGGAGTAAAGTTCCCCTCTTTTATTCCTGGGGCTGACAAAGTTAGTCATGTGACCTGTACAAAAATATGTTTAAAGTCACCAAAATGACACACACACAAAAGTTTGTTCGCTGCAGCTCTGTCAAAGCCAAATGCACTTTATAGATTTTTCCATATTTATTTTGAGAATAGAATCTCCGTGTTTGACAGTCTGAAAAATGAAGTACCTAGGGCAAGGACTTTTCTGATAGGTCTGAACTATAGAAAAATTTGTTGTTTTGCTTTTAGCAATTTCAAGTCCTGAGTGTTTACTCATTCAGTTGAGACAGTTTAGAAGAGGCTATCATTTCCTTAGTCCAAATGCAGATTGATACTTAACTGAGGAACTGGCTCAGTCCATAAATGACAATGATTACACTTCTGGTTGTAGGCAGGACATTTCAATGGGCCTTTCAGTAGGCAAATTGTTTTCTATCACTTACAATGTGGCAGGACGCTACCAGGCAAGGGGGAAAATAGTAACTCATGAGAGTTTAGACCCTACTCTTATAGAACATGAGGATGCCTTTCCTGAAAAACTAGAAAATTTTGTGCTATAGTTAGAAGCAAAAAAAGTCACAGAAGTTGTTGAGCTATAAGAGGAAAAAAAATTGAAGTATTGAGATTGTTTAGCACATGTTCTTCCAGTTTGAGATTTTTTTCAGATCTCAGTGTGTTGGCCTGTTAACGTGAGGTTAAGTATTATTCCCATCTATTCAGAAGAGGAAATGCAAGTTGAGAGAATACAAATGTTTACTGGTTTGGCTAGCCCTCTAAATTAATATTGGGAAAATTTTGTTTTTCTTTGACATGTATACTTGGTACTTATGTTAGCCAGAACTTGTGTAGCTGCAAGTGAC